GTCATCTGTAAACAGGTCCAGTTGCTCACATGCACGCAGTTCTTTCCCTTACAACTAGTACATTTGCTTTTGCCAACAAGAAACATGTTAGCATTGTCCTTATTTCCCTGGGAAATGCCCAAATCAATTTAGATTTTCCATGACCTGAGATGCAATAAAACCATCTATCAGATACCAAATCTTTACAGCTCAGGAGAGGAAATGACAGTAGGTCCAGGGCTGCTCTTGTGAGTCAAGAATGACCCATATTAAAACATGTCAATGGAATGTTACTGTTGGAACTGATTTGCGTTATAGTAATGCTAGAGACCCAAAGACACAGTGAGCCTCAACATGTCCACGTAAGATGACAACAGTTGCTGCCCAAGAGAGCTTACAATTTAAATAGGCAAAAGAGAGACATATTGAGGTAAAGTAATTTCCCTGAAGTCAAACATGAAATTTGTGAGAGACAGGAAGAGCAGCTATGTCTCCCGATTCCCATTCCAGGGTCTTAAACACCTGACGACAGAATTCCCTGCTGCCTCTCCTTAAATCTGATTTCTTCCTTTTTGACCACAATCCCTCATATAAGGCTTCATTCTGACCTCTGGGACCACCTAATGTGTCTGGTTATTGTAGCAGGGGGGTGGAAACATTCTATTTTAACTGAACGAAAAGAGTCACAAGGTTGAACAAGCTAATCCTCCACTTCAGACTGCAAAACTGTCACTACAAAATTATCCCCTCCATTCTACAATACAGCTTTCAGAAACGGTAGTCTTGTTGACTCCAATGCCTTGAAGTAACAAATAATACCTTACAGTGAGTGCTCACATGTTCATATCTCTATTGAGGAGAGTCCCTTAGAATATACTTGGTTCATTGGCAGGGGCCAGGAAGGAGACAGCTGTTTCCTATCTAATTGACATCCCCTTAATGCACTTACAGGTATCATGCATTTAAGAAGCAGCATAGTCCCACAATAGGCCTTGGAGTTGGACTCAGAAAACCTGAGTTCTTATTATTACCTGAGGTCACACAAGGAGTCTTTTCACCTCTCTTTGTTTTGGGTTCCCCATTCATCCTTTAGACTGGAAGCTCTCAGATGCAGGGGCTCCTCACAGGATCTTGTAAAGCTTCCTAGCACCTCTGAACCACCATCTATTGGTTCTTTCCAGGTAGAATCACAATGTAAATTAATTATATCATTCTAATTCATAGTAGTTTGCAACTCTTAGCCAAATGTTATTCCAGGGCAGGCCTCATGGTGCTATTATCAATCATCAAAGATTGAGGGCTGGGTCAGTTAGAGTTTATACCGGAATATAGCTTGACTAAAGATACCTTTAGAATCCTTTTCTCTTTCCTCTGTAGCTATGCAAAATGAACATACACAGTAGAACCCTTGTGCGCTCCCTGTTCAATTACACTTAGTCATCCTCACAAGGAACCTGGTTAGCTTTGCCCTCCTCTGATAGTTTTATTAACAGATATTGTAGGCAGCTCTCACAATTGAGAATTCACTTTTCCAACTCACAGTACTCCATATTCATTATATTGTGAATAACATAAAAAAGCTAAATTACAGATGACAAAAGTAGATGCAAAATACATTTTGTGATGAATAAGTTTTGATATTTTTGTTGCCCATTCACTAGTTTCCAAAATAGTTAAAAAATTTACTAGACATTTGCTGAAAACTGAAAAGGTTCTGCTACTGGGTGGGAGGGTAGCTTTGATATTAGTGGCCTGTGCTTTCTGCTTAGTAAAACATGTTACCCAGATATAAATTAATTTTAATTTACTAATTATAAAATCTTAAATGCTTCCCTTCAGTTTCAATTGAATAGAGGCATTTTCTTGCTGACTTGACATACTTCTGCCATATACTACTTTTAAAAGCTGTTGTTAAAGTAGTTGCTACATTTAACACTACATATTAATGTATTTCACTACAAGACAAGGGGATTCCGCTGTGTATGGTTCATATACTGTGTATATTAGTTTGTTAAATACTCTGTGATCCTTTAGACTGTCATGCATGATATAAATACATGATATTGCATGTCTTCAATGACCAGAGAAAGTAAGCACAAAAAAGTACTTACATACTGGATGAGAAGGAAATACAGGCATCACAGCCTACCAGAAGATGGCTATGGTAGGGCTGCAACTGCTGGGCTATGCTAGATTTAAAGGAACAGTCCCAAAAAGACATTCTGGGAAAAAGTTCTGTCAGATGCTAACTGCACTTGGATGAATTAGGAGGCTCCATGGAGTCAGCAAATTAATCCAGAGTCATAGGTGCTGACTTGTATTTTTGCTGGGGTGGGGGCCTAAGTTGAGTTGCACATGGAAAGTTTAACACATTTCAAGTGACAGCCGTCTTCCTGAGGGGGGTCAGGGCCCTTGGCCCCCACATACTCTACACCTCTGCACAGAGTAAATGGGTAAAAGATTAATGAACACTTAATGAGCCTCCACAGTTAAATTGCAGAGACCCATTGTTATTACTCGATAGGTGTGATTATTGGCAAGATCAGGAGAACTCTGGAATTCATAACTGAAAGACATCTGCTATCCAGTTAGTATTAGTTGTGGCAGGTAAACATAAGCAGAATTCAGTGATGGCAGTATGGATGGCAGCACCAGGGAAGGGTTAATCCCAAAATGAGACCTACAAAAAGGAGTCTGTGCATCTATTCAGAGCCCCATATAGCCAATATAGCTATGTGCATGTGTAGAATAGGCTTGATTCATCTCCACAGGGGGTATTGTTTGGAGGAAGAATTCAGGGTAAAACATGAGGTTCCTCCTTCCATACTCTCTGAGTGGTCTGGTGGGGGTATCCTCTCCATGTTCTGACCAAGCTTCCATGGGAACCTGCTGGGAGAAAAGCTGTCTTTCAGTCCAAACTGTAGCATCTGTCCAATAAGAAGGAACCTGAAAGGGAAGGACGCCTTAACTGCAAAAGCCAGAGAGGGAAATAGCTAATAGCAGCTCAAGAGTGAAACTGCTTATGAGTTGTGACACATGACAGGGTCCAGGCTGCTGCCAGAAGGAAGTTTACAGGAACATCAGAGCCTGTTTTAAGAGTTCACTGGTGGACCCTGGGCTGCTGGACACTTGGTATATCCTGAGAGTGATGAGGTTGGAGTTGTTCTCCAACAATGAGGTTTGGCCCAGGTCTAAATTTTTGAGTGTTAATACCCACAACTGGAGTCAGATTATCAGAAGTGCTCAGGATCCAGGAGACTCCACTCTGATAAATAGGGCCACAATTCCATAACACAATACAAAACATGTTCATATGGGATAGGAGCTCATCTGAGTTGCACCTTGGTCTTTCTTGTTTTCTGCCGGTGGCCCACATTTTGTTTTTTTGTACTGAAATACTAGACCTAACCTAGGTCATTGGGTTTGTTATAAGGTAGTTGGATAGTGCATGATGGCTGATGATGTACAGCACGAGGTCAGACTGGATGTTCTAAATCAGTGGTCTCCAACCTTTTAAAGTAGAAAATCACCTTTGGCATTTAAAAGCAACCCAAGATCTACTGTGTGCCACTACCACTTCCATCCCCGCACTCTGCCCAGCAGGTAAGTCTGTGGGGAGAGAAAGGAGGGTGCAGATTGAGGCAGAGGGAGAAAAAATTATTTGGGGGTGCACCTCCCCAGCAGGTAAGTCCCACCTGGCCAGGGCCCCACTCAACTTACCCCTACTTCTGCCTCTACGGCACTGTCTCTCGCTGTGGGGGCCTCGATCTAGCCCCTGCCCTTTCCCTGCCCCATGAACTGACCTGCTGGGCCGGGGCACGTATGTGCATGCACGTGGGCACTCAACCTCCCCAACACAGCCTTGGATTGACTCCAAGAGGCTGCTGGTGGATCGAGATCCAGTGGTTGGTGACCACTGATTTAAATGGTTTCATCTCGTCTTAATATCTACAAAACCATGACCACGCTCTCAGCCTATTAAGGGGACTCTGTTACTTGCTGCATCATCAAATAAGTCCAATATTTGCCCTGATCTGTGGGTTGCTGCCCTTTCATAATAAACATCCTCCTGTGTTTTTGTATAGGTCTCCCATATTAACTTGAAAGACAAGGTGTCATCATGGAGTCCAGTTACTCCTGTTGATTCTGTAGGTTAGCTTTTGACACCTCTTCACTGATGGCTGAAGTTGCAGGAGGTCAAGTAGCTCCCTTTTGGTTATAGTGACTGCTCCCAGATCAGATGAAAGCCTTGGTGAAGTCTATTTGATGGTCCAACAGCACAAAGCTAGGAAGCAGCCTGTCCAGTTGGGAATAGCTACATGCAAAATGAGGGATTCTTAAAACACCAGGACTTAGGGCTTAAACCAAATTGTAAAGCTTGGATTTGGGGAATAGGCTTTGAGAGTTGATTCACAGTTCCTCTATGCTGGTGCTCAGGGCAGGACAGACTAGGAACACAAGTGGCTAATATAAATTGCCTGGGGAACTACCTGTACCTTGGGAGCAGGAAGACACTAGGGTCTAGGTGACAAGAGCCATACAGTTCTGAGTGTGCAATGGTAGGGCCATCCCCTTCAAATCAGAAGACTTAAAATCTTTACTCCTGTAGTCCTAGAGGATCTGCCTAGCACTGACTTGTCCCCTCTTCTAGCAGGGAAGGTACAGGCACAAATGACTCGTACCTCCTGAGGCTTGGGGGGGCACGGTGACCGCCTGCAGGTGGCGGTGTTGGCAGCACGAGTGTGGTGGCAGCGAGCGGGGACCACCCACAGGCGACCGCAGTGACAGCAGTGAGGGCGGGCCAAGTGGGGACTGCCCACAGGCGGCTGCGGCAGTGTTGGTGGCAAGGGGCAGGGGGTGATGAGCGACAACTGCCCTCAGACACCAGTGGCAGTGTTGTTGGCAACAAATCGGGGGGGGGGCACATGCCCTCCATGCTTCCCCTACATGTCACCTATGGGTACAGGTCTGGGGTTCTCAAGCTAACCATTCTCTGTTTTTGTCAGGACAGTAGTGAGGCAGCAGAAGGAGCTGGCACATGGGATGAAGAGGTCACCAAGTGGTGGGGGGAATGGAGTTCCTGGTCCACATGCTCCCGCACCTGTGGGGGAGGAGTGATGTCCCGGGAGAGGCACTGCTTGCAGCAAAGGTAAGCAATTTAACAGCACCATCAAATACTGATGCTACTGGTGCAAATGAAACCTTCGCTGATTGGTTGTTTAGGGGCTAAGATACAGGTAATGTGTGATGAGAGGGGAGAGGGAGACTTCATTTACCAACAGCCAAACCAGTGAGTTTTGCCTTTGTTGTTGAGCATCTGAATTATTTCAAGTTCTGAAGTGGTGGATATTTCTCTCTTTTCCTGAAACCACCAAATATTCAAAGTGACAGTAACAATCCAATATTTGTAGATCTGAAACAGCTGTAGCCAAACACTAGCATATTTCTTTGTCCTAATGAGCTCACCAGCAACCAGACTCAAAGCCTCTCAACAGATGTTTGAAGGTTGAAAGAAAGATCATTCTCTTCAAGCTCCCAAGGAAGTCCAGTGCTCTCAGAACAGCAATGGTTGGTACAAGCAGGTTTTGCTCTGCACCTGAGCAGCAACCAGTATTAGTGTGATGATTACCACTTTGCTTGATTGGAAACTTAACTGAGGACTTCTGGAGTTAAAATATAAGCCTTTATAGTTTGAGCAAGAAGTCATATAGCTGGGAGCTATAATACACTCATATCCTCAGTACATTGGGCACAGAAAAAGGCCTCCATTTATAGTAGGCAAATGGACAAATCCTGGAATAACCAAGCATACTGGGCTGTGCAGTTATTCATATACTATAGTCCCCTCTTCCTTCCCCTTCTTTGCATCTATGTGATGTGAGGAGAAGAGTGTTTCCTGCACAAAGTGAAAGATAATCAGAAGATAAGTTAGCATGGAGAGGGCATGCCCTGACTTGGCACCCGGTGGGCCTGTAAAATATTCATAATTTATACTGGTTTGATAATTCTCTGGGGAGCAACTTCAGTCCGAGCATAAGCTATTGCAATTCAGCATTTTATTTATTTATTTATTTATATGCCTTCCTTCCCAAAAATGTCTCAGGATGGCTTGCAAGAAAAATAATCTGCCAATAAAAACAATCCAGCATTTATGTCTGAGCTGGATCTTTCTTTGTGAATGTTAGGCATAATGGGACTGACTTTATCTTATATTGCCCTTCACTTGGCAAACCCTGGAATGCCAAATCATGCCAGCTGCACTGTTTCACTACAGCGACTTACACTGATCTATTCCCAGTGTGTAACCTACTTGATTGCTTATGACACTGCCGAGTTAGGCTCTTGTACATATGACGTGGGTTTAGTCCTTCAGTTTGCATTCTATGCTACCTAAATTGAAACATTGAGTTTTTAATTGAAACTTCACCATTTCAGTTTCTGTCACTGCATATTTGTGGTTGTCCTGGCAGCCACAGGCACCTGCTGAAGGCAGAAGTAGCGAGAGGCCTGATCCTTTTTTTTTGGTGGAGCCTGCCTGTCTCTCCCATGGCTGGGAGGCCATTAATCTGTGCCATTAATCGGTAAGCTTGCTTACACTGCACCCCCCATGTGAGAGGCCAGCAGGCTCTGCTGAAAAAAATAAAGGATCAGGCCCCTCACTGCTTCTGCCTTCAGCAGGCTCTTGTGGCCAGCAGGATGCCTGGGGCCACCTAGGAACGGGCTGGCTTGCCCCTGGGGCAGCGCAGGGGGGCGGCTGGGTTTGCTGGCAGCCAGAGAAGGTGGCAGGGATGGTGCATGGGGTGTTGGAAGACCAGGAGGGCTGCTAGCTGGCTGGGTGTTGCCCCAGCTTGGAGGTGTCCAATCCAGTGCTACCCTGAGCCCACCCAAGTTTCCAATGCCCCATGCCCCATCTCCGCTGCCTTCTCTGGCTGCCAGCACACCCAGCTTGCCCCTGGGGCAGTGTGGGGAGAGGGTAGGAGGGCAGCTGGGTGTGCTGATGTCTGGGGAAAGTGGCGGGGATGGTGCATAGGGCACTGGAAGCCTGGACGGGCTTGGGGAAGCATTGGATTGGACACCTCTGAGCTGGGGCAGCACCTGGTCAGCTAGCAGCCCACCTGAGTTTGCAGCACCCCATGCACTGCCACCTTCTGCTGCCAGCAAACTCAGCTGCCCTCCTGCCGCCTTCCTGCGCTGCACCGGGGCAAGCCAGCCCATTCCTGGGCAACTCCAAGTGTCCTGCTGGCCACAGAAGCCTGCTGAAGGCAGAAGTGTCATGGGGCCTGATTCTTTCCATGTTGCAACTTTGCAAACTAAACTACATCAGGGTGTACTTTAGTTTGCAATGATGCAAACTCTTTTAAAATCCACAAGACTTGGGTACAGGTAATGTGTGACACCATTAAGCCACACAAAGGTAAATTTTCATCATGTGTACATCATGACATCATTACATGTACAAGTGCCCAGAGCCTTCTGTGGGAGTGACAACTACTTCCTGGGACATCTGCTTCCTTTTCATAGAGTTTTCTCTCCTGTTCTCTCTCTCTCCTGTTCTTTGTTTTACCTTGTCTCCATGGTCTGTTATGACATCTTCATTCATTCCCTCAAGCTACAGCAGACAAATGACCTGTGCAGCTTCCCAGTGGCAAAGGTTGAAAGGGGTGGGGGTGGAGGTACTGGCTTCAGCTGCACAAACTCCCGCTGCTGTTTTCTTGCCCTGCCTATGCTGCTAGCTTATGTCAAATTTGCCGCTGAAGGCTGAGCAGGAGACTGGAGCGGAAGCCCCAGACCTCCACTAAAGAGATGAATGAGACCCCTGGAGAGGAACCTCTTTAACCTGCTACTCCAGACTCCCTGGATGCTAATGAGAGCTGGCATCTGAGAGTGCAGTGAGCTCACTGTGCCTGCTCCACTGCTCTGCTCCTTTCCCTTCCACATGAACGCACTTCTGAGCGGAGGAAGCCCAGGCAAGCCCCCCCCTCCCCTTTCCGTCCTTCAAAAGGAAAAAAAAACCCTTCTTTTATGTGGGCTGGCTGGCTGCATAATTAGGGTCCGGATGTGCCGAGGTGCCTTCCATCTGGAGATAGCTATGATTCTCAAACAACCTCGCTGCTAACAAGGCATGCCAGTGTCTGCACATCCGCTCCACCCTGTGAGCTCAGACACTGCAATCATGGGAGAAAGATGGGGAAAGGAAATGCAAAAGCGGGCCTGTGTGCCCCTGGGGCATCCCCTGTGCCCTCATAGTCAGGGCTCTTTGGCCCGATCCAAAGCCTAGTAAGAGTCTTTCCACTGACTACAGTGAGCTGTGGATCAGGCCCTTTGCAGTTCTTTGATCAGGGAACTTGTTTCAGTATTTAACGCTCACGCCAGATCATTGTTGCAGAAGCCAAGCTTGCATTAAAAAAGAAAAGTTCTGTGGCTGCAAAGAAAATCTTCCCAGAGCATATGATGCAACAGGTTTTGCCTGAGTCTGCAACCAGTTTGAAATAATGCAGGGTGCCTGTAGACATGCGGGGAGGCTGCTTCAATGTGCTGCAATTGCAGCGCATCAGAGCAGACTCGATTAATTGAGCTACTGTGCTAATTAGCATGCTCCAGCAGCCTCTGCATCTTGTGTATCAGCATCCCTGTGCTTCAAAATGGTAGTGAGGACAGTTTAACTAGAGCTCATTTGATGAGCTTTAGTTAAAGCGTCGCCTCCCTCTCCCCCCCATTTTGAAGCACAGAGGTGCTGATACACAAGACGCTGCAGGCATTTGGAGCTGCTCTAATTAAAGTGCACCTCCCACCCCCCAGAGCACGTGTTAAAATGCCCCCTGTGCCCTGCTCCATCTCAAGTGGAGGGGAACTTGAAAGCTTTATGATACAAATTCAGTTTCCAACATTATTAACTTTTTTTACTGCTTAGGATCTTCTCACTGAACCCATGATTTTATTCCAAAATAGCAAACTGACTTCTGCAGTTTCCTAGCTATCTCCTTTGTTACTGTCAAGAACTCCACTTTTCTGAAAGGCTGTTTTCCTATTTTTCTGAATGGTATTTTGTCAAAATTGACACATTTGCATGAAACGGATTGATTTTGAGGAAACAGCAATTTCCAATGAAAAAGATGCTGTGTCAGTTCTTATTACTGTTAGTAATACTAATCTGTATTACTGTAGCACCTAGAGACCTTGAAATGAGGTCTCCAAAGTTACAAAGTGCAAGGTGCTATATTTTTTCCTAGTACAAGAGGCCCTGGCTCAGGGACCTTACAGACAGAATAAAACAGGTAAAAGGTGGGAAGGGAAGCAAGCAGAAGCAGTTTGTCCCAGGTCACATAGTAGGCTGGTGGCAGAGCTGGGAACAAAGCCCAGGTTTTCTGACTTCCAGTAGGGTTTCTTTGATTTTGATCTTCTAGTGGCTCATCACAAGCCTGGTAAAACAGCCTTTGCCAGATACTCCCTGTATTGTTGGGTTTAGGTTCCATATGCTGGACACGTGCTTTTAAATGTCACTGGGCCTGAATAGGCACTTGTAGTTTTCACTGATGTCTCCACCTCACTTCCTCGGCACAAACTCTCTGTCTCTTATCCCTTCACAGTAATGGATCCTTGTGGTTCAGGTGCCCAAGACCTCAGAACCAGCATTGGCCACAACCAGACACCTCTAAGTGCATTTCTTCCCAAACATCCAGCTTCATGGGCCTCTGGTTTACTATTTACCTCTCAAGGGACACCCAGTAATTGAGATGCATAGTGTCAAGCTTTGCAAAGCCTTTCAGTGCACTATGGAAAGCTACACAAAACAATGCAACAGCTGCATACAGTTTCTTGCCTCAAGTTGTCTCATGACTCTCAGAGATTCTTTGAGCTGAGATCTTTTACGGAGTCCAAGATCCTCCCTCTTCCCCATTCCTTGTGCATGTGGGTTCTTTTCTGAAACACGGAGTCTTCTCTCACTTTTCCCCCTTCCAGTGTCTTTTTCCTCTCTCTAAAATGATTGCACCTTCCAGTGTCTTTTTCCTCTCTCTAAAATGGCTGGTGAGAGACCTGCCCTTTTATTTTTGTCAGGTGACCCTTCTGATCAATCTCATCAGGTGACCCAAATTCTAGACAGTAGCAGGGGCCAATCTTTTTGGCAGGCATGCCACAAATTAGTCTTGCAACTTTGCTAAGTGCCACTCCAATCCCCTTCCTCAGCCCAATGGGCTGCTCTGCTTTCTGTTCCCAGCCTAGGCTGCTGCTCTGCTTTCTGCTTCCATCCTTGTGCTCACTGCCCATTTACTACTTTGCTTTCTGTTTCCTGCTCTATCTGCCGCTGTGATGCCTGTCCCCTCCCTGATCTGCCATGCGCCAGGCACAGAGGCTGCCCATGCCATTTGTGACACCCATGCCACAGGTTGGCAACCCCTGCTTTGATGTGTTGTTTAGTTACCCCTCATGTGGGCACACTGGTTCTTCTGCATAGTACCAAATTCTTTGCCCAAAGGTGTTTCCTTGTAGGAGAGGACAATCAAGATTTAACAAACTTCTGTTGTGTGCTCTACATTGCCACTCCTTAAAATTTCACCCCAAAGGTTAAAAGATGACAGAGAAGGGAGACGAGCCTCACATTCAGAATAGTTTGTAGTCACAGGTAAGTTGTACGTAGATGGATTCATATTTTTCACATGATCTTACCCATCTTTCCAGCTGGGCAGGATGAGAGGAATTGGCCCTTCCTGGAGGGTGGTAATAATGCTCTTGCGTACTTTTATTCTGTCAAGTCCTTCATCCTGACTCCCGTTCCTAAATGAGAACATCCCACCCTAACTTTGAGGCCGCTGGAAATATTTTTCTTTCACATTACTAGGTGCTCTCTGACAAGCTAGATAGAAAAGCCGTTTGCTAGCTTACATACCCTTATAAAAATCGCTGCCTCTCTGCTTGTGTATGTTAAGCCCTGGGCCACTACTATCTTATCTTCTCTATATTATAGCACCTTATTGTCCTCCAGGCTATTGTTCCTTTCTCTTCTCTACATTGCAGACTCCTGATATCTCAAGGAACAAACAGCACCATGTGTGTGGGCCAATCAAAGCATTATCAACTGTGCCAGCAACAGGTAACAACTCTCAGTGTTGCCCATTTACTGCCAGGGAAATAACATGGCTTCAAGGAGTGATCCTGAGGCTGCAGTGCCCATGCAAGCCTCACTATTCTGGATGAGATTTAGAGCAAGTGGATCAAGGTTCTGACTGGTGCAGACAGTAGTATGGATATACAAGGTTACCTCAGAATTCAGGCTGTCACCGGTGTGATGTAATATGTTAATTTTACTGGCAAGAACAAGGCTAGCATTGAGAAAAGCAGCAGCCTGGACTCAATGGGGCTAATCTAGTCAAACACCACTGAATATTTTATTAATGTTAATACATAATAAGAATAGTAACCTAGGAGGAAGACATCTGTAGCAGGCTTCCTCTGTGCATATTAAAGTGCTTTCAGATGGTATTTCCATGTTATGTGGAAAAAGGGACTTGCTCAGTGATACCAGGGCAGAGCAAGTGTGGAACCCAGTAATCCTGACTCACAGCCTCTGCTCTGTCCACCAGACACAATGGTCTCTTTTGTGCCATTCTAAGTGTCTCTCCACTGCTGTGAGCTGAGGAAGGCCTGCTGTCTAGACTAAACTCATCTGGAGCTTTCTTGCATTACCCTGCCAGGGGTCCTAGCCTTGACCTAAGAGGTCATTCACCCTCTTCTCAGATATGGGAGGCATTCAGCTCCCCTGCTGTTGCAGTTCAGAAACTTCATTTCTCCATAGCACTCTTGTTTTTTTCTAGGAAGATAACACTGGGTTTGTTTTTTCCACAGCCCTGCCCAGCCAACACAGCCAGCTTCAAACAACAGCAGTGTTCCAGTTTCAATGCCAAGGCCTTTGGGAAGCGCTATTATAACTGGATGCCTCTTTATCCAGGTTTGTCCATCAGTGAAACAGCTCTGAACAGAGGATGTGAAAGGGGAAGAAGAATAGGGCTGTCTGGGGGTACCTTGTAAGTGGGAGAGATACCACAGCCCGGAGATTGGAGAGTTGCCTACTGATTAAGGAGCCTTCATGCTCTGTGTGTGAAATCTCCTGCTTCAGAGCTGCCTGTTCCCTGCTGTGCAGGCATTTCTTCCAGCTTCTCTTGAAGAGTCACTCTTATCTGAGAGGCCTTCTTCTCTTTGCCTGCTCTACTCCTGGTTGTAAGTATTCTCTTACCTAAAATACTGCTTTAAACTAGACTTGGGAGTAAGATTTTCCAAGTGACTGATCATCTTGGTAACTTCATTTTTCAGTGCCCATCTGAGACACCTTAAGGGAGCCTGGTTTTCAGTGGCTGGGTGGTAAAGACTTTCTGGAAATTAGATCCCTCTAACATGCCTCCTCCAGAGCTTCCAAAATCACCTGTCACTTTCAAACACCTCGACCAAGAGGCTTGACCTAAAATGCTCATATTTAAAGCTGCAAAAGCTGGTGATTTAGGAGCTTTGGAGTCTGGGGTCTTCATGTATCCAAAGAACAGAACTGGCAACAGGATGAGCTTCCCTGTATTGTCTGACTAACACATGGCCACCTTAACTGAGGAAAGAGGGAAGTTTTCTGTCCATGCCCATTCAGCCAGCTTCTTGAGTTCTTCTTCTTCTTGTGTCCTTGTTATAAACTAGATGAATTTCCAGAATTGTGCACAAGCAATGGCTCTTTGCATTGCTGCAGCGAGGTTCTCCATCATACAGGTATCACCAAGAAGTCAGCAAACAAGCAGGTCCTCCATAGTCTGCACTTCACTGCACTCGTATATGTTCGTATCATCAAAGTAGCCCCATTTGATCATGTTTGTTTTTGATCTTTTAGTTTGCATGTGCAGGTGATTCAGGTATCGCCATGTTGGCCAGTCTAGATCCACCTCTTTGGAAAGGTCCTCCTGGGGTTCCAGGTCCATTTCAGAGCACCTGATTGCATGTAATATTTTCTTCCATAACGTTAGTCATACCCTATCAGTCATGTCCAACAGCACAACACTGGTCACAAAACCCTTTCACATTTTAAGCCATTTAGTTACTTGTGTGTGACTACAGAGCAAATGCCTGGGGTCTTCCATCTGCTATGATCTTGCTTTTTGGCTCACTACCTTCTTTCTGATATCAGGTAGTGCAATGCCAGCCAGTAAGTATAGACTATTCTTTGGGGTTGGCTTTAGATATTCTGTTATTGTATGACAGTTGTCATTTAGAAATGGTCTAATTTCTTGGCATGAACTGTTCCAACTACTATAATGGCCATAGCAGAAGCATTCACAACACAGCCCCTGTCAGATTCCAATGAATCTGCGAATTCTGCTAAAACCTTGTCATCAACAATCTTAGCTTCTTGAGTGATATTGCCTGTTACAGTGCCAATTGTAGGGGATGGTTCTTTTTAAGTTGGACATAACTCCACTTCCTAGCTGGGGAGAGAGACCATCAAATCATTTCACTTCTGCCACCAGAGGATATCAAAGTGGCAATGGCACTCCATTGTTTCTGAGCAGGGTAGCATAAAACTAGAAATCTAGAGAGGAACTCTGTCTCTGCCAGCCACTGAGCCTTCCATGCTTTGCCCCTGCCACTCTGCCTATTGCTTGTTCACCTTTCCCTCTTTAGATGATTACACCAGTATCTCCAACAAACCATGTGATCTACAGTGCACCACCAGGAATGGAGAGAGGCAGTTGATGGCCCGTGCTCAGGATGGCACATCTTGCAAGGACAGAACCTACCAAGGGGTCTGCATCAGTGGAAAATGTGAGGTGAGGCAGCTGAAGGGAGGGCCGGGTATGTGGAGGGTGTGGGCATGGTTTTACATCATTGCAGTCAAAGCTCTATGATTACTAGCAGTAAAACAAAATGGTTGACTAGTAAAGTATATTTGTAACTATTGTAATAATGCCTGTTGGGAATGGGAAGCTGTTATATTCCCCCATGTGCTTGTCTGGGGTATCTGTATTCTCCCTTTGAGGAGGAAGAAAACAATCAGCACCCATGATTTGTTCTTGTAGGGTGTAACAGGTGGGCATCCCGGGGCCTGTCTAAGCATAGGCCCACCCACTTGTCTCTGGGTAGACCGCCCACCTACCTCACCTGCCATTGCTTGATGATAATGATTGAAGGATGTCAATAAGGTGGGAGGCTGCCCATTTACCTGCCCTGAAGCCATGGGCCCATATACACAGCTCCATGCTACCCTATACTGTGTCCCATGCCACGCAGCTGGCATCCATGTTTTTCCAGTGTCCTCCACTGGGACTCAAGCCCCAGAATCTCATGCAGGACTCTCACTCTCCACTGGAGCTCATAGTCCCAGTGCCTTCACACTGGGCTGTCCTTCTGTTCATCCCTCAGGGCTCCCAGCCCTTATCCATTTGGGGCTCCAAGCCCCTACCGATGCTGGGCTCCAGGCCCCTAGCAACTCTGGGCTCCAACCCCCATCCCCATTTAGGGCTCCAAGCCCCACTCTGGGCTCCAAGTCCCACTCTGGGCTCCAAGTTCCACTCTACTCAGGTCTCCAAGCCCCATCCCCTTCCCTGCACTAGGCCTTATCCCCTGCCTTACACTGGGCTCACAATCTCCTTATCCCTTTACCCCAGGAGCTCCACACATAGCTCCCCGAAGACTCAGGGCCCCACTCCCCTGGAGTCTCACTCCCGGCTCCCTTAGTGCAGCCTCAGATCTCACTGTCAGTTTGGGCACCATCTATGGCCCCTTCACCTGGCCAGAACCCCACCTCAGAACTCATGGTGAGTCTGGGCCCTTGTTTTGTCTTTTAGGGTGTTCTCCCCTAGCCTTTCCCCTCCACAGGGTCACCCACAAGGCAGCGGGAACTGAGGCTTTCTGGCATCCCATACTCGCCCTTCACTGGGGAGGGCCCAGGTGTGGCATTTCCTGGTAGCTGCCCTGCCACAAGCAGCCCCATCCACACCATCCAACCCCAGCAGGGTGTAATTTTAGGTCATGCCCCAGGACCAGGAGCCTCCAGCCATCCCCATAACTCCTGCCCTTACCTACAAGGTTGTTCCATGAGCAGCAGCTCAGCCAGGTGGTATGCTCCCAGCTGCTAGCAGCAGACTGCTGGCTTTGCTATTCAGGGCCCTGCTCTTATAGTGAACAACTGGGCCCTGTTTCCAACCCGGTAAATAGGCCTGATTAGGGAAAATAGCCAGTTCAAGGCTGCCTTGCTGCTGCCCATGCCCCTAGGAGTAACAGAACACACCCTGTGCTCTCTTACATAGGGTTAACCAGCAGTGAAAGAATGTTTACCTTGTTAGTATGGCTTTCCTTGCACTGCAATTGTACCTCTATGTATTTGGTACATATATACAATTAATTAATACATGTTGAATTTTTAAGATCATAAGGCTTGACCATGGTTTGATGGCTCAGTGTTGTCATTTCTTGACGTGCTACCTCCTAGAGGCATTGGCCTTTTTCAACAAGGCCCCTCCTGGATGTGTACTTCCTGGAGGAAGAATATTCTAATCTGTAATTGCAATCAGGTGCATCAGGTTAAAGGTAGCTACAGGGTGAACTGAAACTGCCCCTCATCCCCAATCCCCAGGGTTACACCTTCTGGTTTCCTAGACATGCAAGCTTTCTTGACTGATGACTTCTCTCCAAGGTGGAGACTTGTCTCACTGCTGTATAGCAGGGGGGTCTGTAGGGAATACTTCTCCCTTCAAAACTGGGCCATGTCTTTTCTTTTTCATTCCTTGCAGCCAGTTGGGTGCGACGGGAGTCTCTACTCAGCCCAGACGATGGACAGATGCAGGGTGTGTGGAGGAGACGGCAGCACTTGCTACCGGGTCTCAGGCAGCTTCCGAAAGGGGATCTCACAGTTAGGTACACCCTATTAACACCGTCAAGAGCCATTATGAGTTGCTTGTTGCTGCCACCTGCTACTCAGTACGTAGTGATGTGGCTTCAGTCAGAATATGAGCTGCACAGCTGTGGGAGCTGAATAATGTCCTGCCTTTCTTTTCCAATTTAACCAAAAATGATTATATTTTGCCTGCTCGGCTAATTCACTAGCTGAAATTGGTTCGATCTGCTCTCTGTTAGGTTAGTGAGGTTTCCCTCCACCTCTTTACAATGTGAAGCAGCTGGGGACCTATTTGTTTCTATTGATTTTGGCAACCTGCCCCTGCCAGATTATGTTAGAAATTCAATGCATTGTCTTTATTTTGTGCTCTGAGTTAATTTTGTACTTGGGTTTTCATCTCATAGGAAGAGGGTCAATTAATTTCTAAGTATCTCTTGCTGTTTCCATCCACAGCTGTCATTCTGATGCTCTCTCCAGTTCTATATACTGCAGTGGTTTTTTCTCAAACTGAGTTGATGCTAGTGGGTCATCCTTCAGACTCTTGCTACACCTCTTATGTGTACCTCCTCACCCAGGCTGAATGGTAGGGAAACATGGTGAAGCATCAGTAGCCAGAGGAATGCAGTGGCAGGACATTTTCAGGCACTTACTCAACTTTATGGTAATTTCATCATGATACAGCAGTCTCCTACTGGTGGGAGACTTTGTTGTCTGCACACAGTTCAGCTGTAACTGCCCCCACTGTCTTTACAAGCCTGGCAGGTGGGAAGCAGAAAATTATCAATAGACTTTGGGGTTTTTTTGTTTTCCTTTCCTGGGAACAATTCCCAATAACAGGTAAACCCAGCTCCAAAATGTACTTTCATTGGTGACTAAAAGTGGAAATTTTTTAAATTGGGTTTGTTCCATTACAATAGCTAAAGAAGCCCTGACAAGGTTCTAAAAATAAGTATAACTTTCTTGCTAGGATCAATTTGTACATAATCAGAACTGTCACATTTTTGGTCTCTTCAATTCTGCTGAAGAATTCTTTGGGACTCAGGGATTTTTACTTCAAGCACTCACAGCTTAGCTGAAAAGACAAGGGCGGGAGAGATTGTTGAAACTTTAGCAAAGATATCTTTCTTTCAAATGCATGTTAGGCATGTGAATTTAAAAGATCAACTATACCAGGGCTTGGTAACATCTGACCCATGGGCCAAATCTGGCACATGGAGCCACTGGATGGTCCAGCCTGTGGATCCAGGGGACTTCAGTGGCATGGAGTTCCAACAGTGTTGTGGCAACAGGGGGCTTTGCCTGTGCCCATGCCTGTGCTGGGGCTGGGCAGCAAGGAGCTCCACTGAGGCTGTAGCCAGGTAGTGGGGAAAAATGGTGGTGGCAGTGGTGGTTGTGGCAGCAGTGGCCATGGTTGGGTCAGAAGACCGGTCTACTTTGGACCGCAGGATGGTTCTAGCCTGCAGCTCCAAAACGTTGCTGGCTATTGAACTGAACACATTTCTAAAAGTTTCTCATAGTTTGCCTAAAATTCCTTCCCTTCACTACTGCTTATCTGTTAGTTATTATTACACTTGAGACTATAGCAGCATGCACAGTTTGCATGGCTCTTTCTAAACTACAGCTAATACTGCCACCCCTGCACTGAAATGTATAGAGTCTCTTGTGGTATCATTATTCCACTAGTTTTCCTGTCACCATAAAGTATTCTGTGATAGACAGAATCTGCATTTCCAGTGTAAAGTGCAAGCAGGCAAAAGCGTTCCAGGCCTTTTCAACATGGTCTTGTGTACTTCCTTGCTTTCTCCCTCTTCCCCTCTGGGGTTCAGGGGATTGGTGAAGGGAAACAGAACCCTTAGGTTGCTTGTTCAGAGCCAAGACTAGTCAGTACTTGGCTTCTCATCTTTTCACACACTTGTCCTTAAAGAGTGGCAGTGCTTGCTCTTACACCCAAGTTCAGCACAGTATATATAGAATCATAGAAAATGAGGGTTGAAAGGGACCTCAGGAGGTCATCTAGTCTAACCCCCTGTTCAAAATAGGACCATTCCCAATTATATCATCCCACCCAAGGCTTTGTTTAGCCTGGTCTTAAAAACCTCCAAGGATGAAGATTCCACAACCTCTCTGGGCCCTGAAGTTCAGCAGCTCTCCTACCAGGGCTTGGAGCATCAGAGGAGAGATTTTTTTTAGAGCTGTGAACACAAAAGTACACAAAGGGGGAGCTGAGACTAGCTCCTGAACTCCCAAAACACTGGCCCTGGAGCTGAAGCCTTCCCTCTTGTATACAATCTACTTGAGGGCTTCATTGTCCTCCTGCACACACACACACACACACACACCGCAAACAACTGTTGCCCACCCTTGCTGTAGCACAAGCCCAGTCAGCTGATCCTCTCACTCAGTTTCCCAGTGGTGTTGGACGTGTCTGAGTCTCTAGTTTTCCGAGCCCTTTGTTCTGTTCTCATCCCACAGGTTATGTATTTATCACAAACATCCCTGCTGGTGCCATGGACATCCTCATCATTGAGCGAAGGAAAACTGAAAACATTCTGGGTAAGCAGCAGAAAAGAATGCCATTGAGAGTCTGGTCCTGCAGCTTGAATTTGGGGCAAGGGCCCTGATTGCATCTATGGTGTATCATGATGAGGGTGGGGAAGTTGTGGAGCAGCAGAAAGCAGTGGAAGGGACATGCAAAAAGCTCAGTGGGAGCCTTCAGGAAGCCACAGGCATAAATGTTGCATGGCTGTGGGAGGCAAAGAATGGGTAGGAGTAAAGAGGCAGTTTCATGTGGCTCCCATCTCTTCAGGAGCTCTGCCACCAGCAATGTTGCTTTGAGTATTCTTGTCTTGGCTTTCTCTGTAGCCTCAGGCCTTGGTCACTGCTGTTTTGATCTGATGTGGAAAACCTTTATATAGCCAATTATAGGGAAATGACCCTGCTATCATTTTTTTTTTAAAGAAGTTAATTCACTCCCTTCTCTGCTCCCCAGGATCAGTGCTGTAATGCTGTGAATATAAACTCATGAGCTGTTGTTGACTTCTCCTAGGAGTCTGCTTGGAGTTAAGCTTCCTATCTTCCTACTTCTGTCTGCTCCACTCTTTCTGTCTTTGCAGCACTGGCAGATGAATATGGGAACTTTTTCTTCAATGGGAACTCAGCCATTGACAATCCCCAGAACTTCAGGGTTTCTGGCACTGTGTTTAAGTACCGCCGGCCACCCAGCCTGCACTCTGATGGCCTGGAGTACATCATTGCCCATGGGCCCACCAACCAGTCTCTGAATGCCATGGTATGTAAGGATCTAAAGATCGGGCTGCTTCATTGCTTGTGTTCTTTATGAGTCCAAAGCCTACAAGTATCCAATCAGATGAGGGAATTCTGAGCATTCATGTGACTGGTGCATCATTCCTTACACTGATGTCTTTAGAGATAGCCTGGCACTGCCCAAGGGGGGCGCTACCCTTTAGCTGTTGTGGTGGCACAGTTTCTTCTGTGTTTCTCACCAAGACATTATTCTTTCACTCATAGAATCATAGGGTTGGGAGGGACTTCCAGGCTCATCTAATTCAACCCCTGCACAACTGCAGGTTGTGCAGGTTGTAGGATGTGGTTAAAATATTTCTTTGTGGTACATGTCAGTGAGATAAAAGGGTTTCTATTTCCTTCTCTCTTGCTTCCAGTACTATAACTTTAATGGGAAAATGCCTCATATTACTTATGACTATACTGTGCCACGGACACCATCACCAGCTCTCCGAACAGCTCCCCCCACCATAGATGCACCTCTTTACCTTCATCCGCCAGAGTCCAGTCAGAAAGATCAAGTTCTGATGCCAGCAGATTCCAGGGCTGCCCAGGACTTCAATTCCACTTGGATTTCTCTCTCATCGGATGATGCCAGAGACCAACTCCAACCACAAGAAGAGCCCGAAGACATGAGCTTCAGCAGCCAAGCCTTTTTCCAGAGTAACTTCACTGCTCAGACTGGGGATTGGGGCTGGGAACAGGGGAAAAAGGAGGAAGATAAGTTTGGCTTCCAGATAAGACAAGTCTGCCTTGCCAACAGAGTGGGAGAGGAGGAGGAGGTGGCAGTGGGTGGAAAAACAGACTTGGGTTTGTTTCTTTTCTTGGCTACCTTGGGTCTGGACATCTGCAGTGCTCTTTGAAAGTAAGACTTTTAAGAGAGATTTTCAGCATTGCCCTGACTGCTTCCACTGAAATCAGTAGGAGCTTTCTTAGTGGGGAGGGTCGGGGAGGGTGGTGGATCAAGAAGGAAAGATGGTATTCTAACCTCAGTGGAGTCACTAATGCAACGAAATTTTCCTTTAGCCCTCAGATTAAATCAGATTTCCATCAGTACAACCATACCCTTCAGTGTGATGCAGCCAGAGCTCCCAGAGAGCAGTGGGATCAAGGCATCCAGGCTCCATCTCTTCAGGAGGTTATGTCACCGGGACCCACAAAATGCTGCCTTTTGCAGGGAACTGCAGCACCTAACTGCCAAGCTGGGGCAGAAGAACTTGACAGGAGGGCTTTGGAGTGAGCTGGGGGATGGGTGGCCAGAGAGGCAGCGCAAGGGACCTGCCCAGAAGAGCTCACTGGAGAGTGTGAAGTCAGAGACTTACGCAGGGAGTCAAGAGGAGGCAGCTAACTACACCAGGACAGTACCCCTGCAGAACATCCTCTTGGGTTCCAACTCAACCGTTGGGAACATGCACCAGGCTGAGCCTCTCCAAGCTCCTGAAAGGTGAGGCACTCTTCACAAGGTAGGGCAAACTTTATCTGAGGAAGGATGATCAGCCTAATGTTCTGACAGCCTCAGTGTTTTCTGCATGTGTTTCCCCTCCCTAGCACCTTGATGATTATGGCATGATCCTGGTGGATGCCTCACCAATGGTGTTAACCAGTAGGGGAAATAGGCCAAAGTCAGCAGCTGTGCCAGCTAGCCTAAGCTATCAAATTATGTCCTATAGTCCATCCCCCATTCCAGAAGGATTTGGTCACCTCCTAAGTGATCCTTTAAAATGGTCTTTTGATGATCTTTCCTCCACCACGGAGGCCCTTACTCATACATGCAGAGGAGGAGCTCAAGACACTACATCCTGACTCCATCTCTGTAGGCACAGATCATAGTATCATAGTTGCTGGGGTTGGAAGGAACCTAAACAGATCATCAGGTCCAACCCCCTGCCCCGGGCAGGAATGGGTGCCGGGATCATATAACCCCAGGCAAATATCTGTTCAGCCTCCTCTTAATGTCCAAATGCATGCATATGCAAACACACACATATAAAATGTGGAAGTGGATAAGCAGCAGTTCCTTTAAATTAATTGTTTAACACCTATTAAGACAGAATGGATTTATGTAAAAGTAAGAGCTATGTGGTTGGCCATTCAGAACCCATGAGTCTGAGAACCCTTCAAAATACACTGCCAACCAAAGAAACACTGCATCTCCTTCTGGGGCATGGGAGATAGAGCAACGAGCCAAAGAGCTAGACATTCCTGTTCCTTCAGGCACCCTGGGATGGTTGGAGGAAATGAAGCTCCCTCCCTTCCAGCTTTCGGCAGATGACCTTTCCTTCCTTTTGTCCCAAAGAAAGCTCACTCCTGCTCCTTTCTCTGCAGCAATGAGTTTGAGGTGAGTCCTGTGGGCCAAGATGACATCAGCCTAGCTGACATGTACCGGTGGAAGGTCTCTGCCTATGCCCCCTGCAGCTCCACATGCACTTCTGGTAGGTTTGGTTTTAGGGTGTCATGGCCTTTCACTAGAAGGTTCCCAGGTATGCCTGCAGCATCCAGAAGCTGTTTTTATTTGAAGGCTCTTTAATAACCTCTGCTAACTCATTTGGGGATGGATTTTTAAAAGTATTTCAGTGCCTGTCTCGTAGTTGGCAACTGATATCCTTAAAAGCCTGACTCACCCTGTTCCCGGGACGAAAGGAGTCACACCACAAAAGCTACCAGACCCTCAGGCATTGACCCACACTCTTGTTGACTATTGCTGGTATGGGAGAATGAACCATCCCATTCATTCATTCAGGTCTGGTTCAAAGCCTTTGGATAGGGGAGTGTAGTAAAGAAAGCTGGCTCTGCTGCTATCTGAAAGATAGTTTGCAGAGTGCATCACCTAGACACTTCTTGGCAGCATTAAATTCTGTTAAAAATGCAAATAAAGAATAAACTCAAGATAGGTTTGGATCTGGATATACCATGTACAAGACTTAACTCTTACCCACAGGCACAGCTCCTGCTGTACCTACCCCCAGCGTATGGTGCACAGAAGAGAGGGAGGCACATGCTCTTAATGGGTAGTGGGGATGCTCCTGGAATTGGGTGCAAGCTTTTGTGCTTTTAAAAATTGTGCTGAGTCAATGAGAAGAACCTGAGTCCAACTGACAATAGGGTTACAACTGGAAGTGGTGAGAATCCATAGGTTTGAATACACAAGGCTCCAAGCTGGGCTCTGAGATTTTTTGCCCTTTGGTTTTATGCACCTGAGGTGACCAGAAGGGTGTTTTGGGAGAGAACAGGGTCAATATGCTTAAGAGCTGTCATCTGAGGAGGACTTCTTTTTATAGCTGAATCTTGTGTAGATTGGGGTCAGCATAAGCTTAAGTGATTCAGAGGATGGGAGCATCAGACAAGGTTCAGCTTGTTTTCTCCCCTACTGAAATCAATCTAGGGGGTCACTGACCTGGGGAGAGGTGAAGTAGCAGCAAACCCCTCAACAGCCTCTGTTGAATTTACATCACTGGCTCCTGTATATTGTGCTCTGAAGTCATCAGCTCTGCTCTCAGCTGGTGGCCTACCAGTTTTCCCAGGTGGACTCAGTTTCAGAGCTCTTTTACAGATACTGATCAGTGGATATTTGTACTTTTCTAATGGACCCTAAAATCTCTGATATAGTAGGCCCCATTTCTGATTCCCATTTCTGGTTAGGGGCTGGGGCACATGACTTATGAGGAGAGGCTGAGGGAACTGGGCTTATTTAGTCTGCAGAAGAGAAGACTGAGGGGGGATTTAAAAACAGCCTTCAACTACCTGACGGGTGATTCCCAAGAGGATGGAGCTAGACTGTTCTCAGTGGTGGCAAATAACAGGACAAGGAGCAATGTTCTAAAGTTGAGTTGCAGCAAGGGAAACTTGGGTTAGATATTAAGAAAATATTTCTCAGTAGGACGGTAGTAAAGCACTGGAACAGGTTACCCAGAGAGGCTGTAGAGGCCAGGTCTTAAAAACCTCCATCTTTGGAGGTTTTTAAGACCTGGCTAGACAAAGCCTTGTCTGGGATGATCTAGTTGGGGATGGTCCTGGTTTGAGCAGGTGGTTGGACTAGATGACCTCCTGAGGTCCCTTCCAACCCTAATTTTCTTTGATTCTATCATTTCATAAATAACTGGTGTAACCAGTGGAGACAGCAGCCTTTTATTGGATAGCACATGCTTGTGGACCTTTGTTAAGAGAGATTCTCGGTGTCCAGCAGGCATCAGCACCTCCTACGCCATGTGTGTACGCTACGATGGAGTGGAAGTAGATGACACAAACTGTGATGCGTTGACCCGCCCAGAACCTACTCATGAGTTCTGTACAGGGAGAGACTGCCAGCCCAGGTAAACTGAAACACTCAAGCCTCAACCCATCTCTGAGAAACACATCCAGAAAGCCAAGGAAGATGGTGACTGGTGCAAGAGTTCATTGGCAGAATAGTGCACAAGAAATCAATGAGTAAGAGTGTGTCATTTTGGCAATGAAAGAGAGAGGAAGCACATGGGGAAAAGAAGCTGAGGGGAAGCGGGGCAGGTGGATTTCTGTGTTGTGTCACTCATCCCACTTAGTACATCTTACACTGTGGATTATTTTGCATACACAGTGCAGAGTATTAGAAAGGGATGGAATGAAAAACTGAACTTGTCTATTGCCTTTTGCAGGTGATATTGGTATTATAGCATGGGGGGGTGACTCTCATATACCCGAGAAGGTTCTCCTGTAGAGAAACTACCTCCTTTGAATAAAGAGATGCTGAGAACACTGGTTTGCCATTTGCTGGGGTGGGTTTCATGGCTTTACAACAAACTGGAAAAAAACAGCACTATTCATTTAAAGGCAGTGAAAAAATATCCAGTGACATTTCTGCATTACCTTCCACTGAGAGTGCCAGAAGCACTAAACAGAACTTGCAGACCATGGGCAAGACACTTCATTTAGCACCTGCCTTATGCTAGGCACCACCATGGGAGCATCAGAAGAGGAGGAGCCATGACTCACCCCAGTGCTTCTGTTATTCTGATGAGGGGGAATAAGTTACTCAACCCCCTTTTCATTAGTGACCTGTGATTCCTCCTGCCAAGCACTCAGGTGACTGGGGGTGTATGCATAGCCAGGACTCCTCACGCTCCTTACCTGACCCCCACCCTTCCATTTACAATGCAAGACATTGGGAGAATCAGCCCCCCCGCATGCATGCACCTCTGCGGAGGAAAGTCACAGCCTTCAAACCAGACTCAACATTTCTCTACAGCAGGTGGGGCAGAAAGTGAAAGAAAACGGTGTGTCCAGAGTCACTTACTCAGCAAATTTTAGGTCACTGAAGGATGGCAGTAGGGACTTGGCTAGGATATAAGCATTAATACCCTTGCCCTGGGGAGAGTCCCATGCAGCTTTGCTTTTAAGCACAGCCAAATTCTGTGTGGCATCTGAGATACTAAGGAGGAACGGTTATTTCAACAAACAACAATAATGGTCCAATAAAATCTTGTTGTTGGCAGTGTGACTGCAGTTCCCATGTACACATGGTGGCAGGCAGGGCTAGCAGTGAGAAGCCCATCAGTGGCTTGTACCAGCTAGTCCAGTCCTTGCCCCATCTGCCACTCAGCATGCCACATTCTGAACTGTGTCTTGCTTTGTTTCTTCCTTCCTTGCAATCCCTCATGAAGGTGGGAGACCAGCCGGTGGAGTGAGTGCTCCAGGACCTGCGGGGAAGGCTATCAGTATCGGACTGTGCGCTGCTGGAAGATGCTGGCTCCAGGCTTTGACAGCTCTGTGTATGACGAGTTGTGCGAGTCAGCTGGCCTGACCAGGCCAATGGAAAAGAAAGCATGCAAGAACAAGGCCTGTGGGCCCCAATGGGAACTCTCTAAGTGGTCTGAGGTATGGAGAGCAAGGACCTACCCCCAGGTGTCAGGGTTAAACCAGACACTGGTCCAGGACCAAAGGAAATCTGCCTGCAGCCAACTGACACTTTCCTAGCTATGATGTTCAGAGATCATCAACCTGGCTGAGACATCTTTGAGGGGTTGCCTGAGGAAGCTTGTCCAGTATTTGTCTATCCTTTACTTGTTCTGACACAGCCCAGAGGACTAACATCCACTGCCATCATTTATAGCAACTGGTATTTGTATACTCTCTTCCTGGCTAGACTCTCAGTGCATGCAATACTCATATGACAGAGACAAGTTTAGCTCCTACTTTACAGATAAAGAGAGACATGGAAGAGGCCATTGATTTTAGGTGATTACAGACACACCTTGGACCCGATTTTTGAAGGGTCAAACAGCCTCAGGTGCCATTAAGTTAGAAGGGGCTGTGTGTGAGCCCATTTGAGAACTCGGGCCTGTGACATGACGGAAACCCAAAACTTGTAAAGCCATGTTTTGAAGGACTTACCCCAGGACACGGAGAAAATAAGCGGCTGCATTTATCTTCCCCTTCTGGTACATTAGTCATAAGGCCACCTTCCCTATCACCACCAATACCAGCTTCATTCTGAGGAGAAAAAAGGAAAAAGAAATAAAAAACCTTTCTCCTCACTTTTCCTACTTCCTATCCCCATACTGACTTGGGCTGCTTCCCCTTTTGTAGTGTTCTGCTCAGTGTGGCAGTCAGGGGATGATGAAGAGGGAGGTACGATGCTCAGTGGAGGCACCCCTCTGTGATGAATCCAAGAAACCTACCAGTGAAAAGGAATGCATGGGCCCACCCTGTGACCGGCACTGGACCACCTCAGACTGGGGACCGGTGAGTCCAACAAGGATGCTCTCCCTTCTCTGTGCAGGGTTTGGAAGCTGGGGGAAGAACTGTGGCAGCTCAGGGCTGAAGAGATGGGAGACTAGATTCCCCACTGATGCATTACAGGGGACATTTCTAACCTGCAGTTTGTACCCAGAAAAAATGGCTGAATTGTTTTGACTCAGACTTTTTAAAAAACATGCGCTGAGTCTAAACCTGGAGAATGTCAGCCTCAAAGTCAGAAGTTTGGGGAAGTTCTAAATGACTGGAAAAAATGAGAATGGAAACTGTTGTGCAATCTTGATGCTAGCAGCTGCTGCATTGGCAGCTGAAGTGATTTGACCAAAGTGTGTCAGTGTCCAAGGCAGGAACAGAACTCACCCTTTTGATGCCCATGCTTCAGGCACTAGTCCAGGCTACCTTCACCTGCTCTGGTGCTGTTCAGTGACCTGTATATTTACAAACCTGTAGTTTACATACCCTTTATTTCTTCAAGTGCTCAGGACTGTGCGGTGAAGGGCGAATGAGCCGTTTCGTTGTGTGCCGCAACCAGGAGGGGAAGGTGATCTCAGACTCGCAGTGTGATGCTGTAGCCAAACCTCTGACTGTCCACCCCTGTGGAGACAAGAATTGCCCTGCCCACTGGGTGGAGCAAGAATGGGACCAGGTAAGTCTGGAGTTGTCTCTTTCCACCTGCCCTCTGTCTTGCCCTTCCTCAGACAGAGAGAAAGGGCCCAGTCTTCTCCTTCAGCCCAGCTTCCTGTGTCTGACAACTTTCCAGTATGACTCCCATAAGCCCAGAGGTCTTGTGTATTAGTATCAAGGGACTTTGGGAAGGCAACAAGACATATGTGATCCTCAAGAAATGGAGAGTCCTTGTAGTCGATGGGAGGGATCAAAATACAAGCACTGGAGATGAGAAGAATCCAAGGAAATGTTCCTTTCTGCAGTCTGGGTAACAGAGGCATCATTGTACCTGGTCAGGCAGGGGGTGGGGGATTCGTGCTGTAGAGGCCAGGATGCAGCCTGCAGGAGCTGAGGACATAATGCAGCAGTTCTCACTCAGCAGTGGTGGATCTCCCTATCTACTGTGGGACAGGAAGATCATACCCATAGCCTGTCCCATGGCTGGTGTCAGGGGAAAATTTCTCACCTCCTTGCACCCAGGAACCATTTCTCCTGAATCCTCTCTACACCACAGTGACCCACCTGCTTACAGTTCTTTTCCTTTTGCTTCCTTCAGCATGAAGCCGAGAATGATCTCTGGATCCCCTCTTCATGGACTACCATTGGTCAGAAAGAATGACTTGAGGGGTGGACCAATACATCCCATTGGAGCATAAGTGCATTGGGTGCTCAGAATGGTGTTGCATGGCCCTGTTGCAGCTCCTGTGCTGATGTGGTGGTCATGTGACCTTGTATGGGGTTAGCTCTGTGGCCTCTTTCCAACAACAGGATGCACAGGATGTTCGCAAAGCAGACAGGAGTCACAAAGCCCATGGTCCCACAGCTGTGCGACTCTGAGCTGGTTTGAATGCACTCTCAGCTCCCATCAGAGGGCAGCATTGTCCTAAGGAAGTGCTCTCTGCTGCCCTGATTCTTGCTGACCACAGTGTGTCTCCAAGCAAGAACCCCAAATTCAAATAAAAATTAGGCAAGACTTTTTCAGTTAATAGTATACTCACCAAAAAATAATGAAACTTTGAAGGGATCAAAACAAAATCAGGGTCAGTTCAATGAGTAGTTTTGGCAGGGATAAAATTGTGGGGGGAGAACGGAGAGTCTGAAAACATCAGACATTACCCACAAAAATCCTTGCCTCTCACATATATCCTGGATTATCATGACTTCAGCATCACTTCAATACCATCAAAACTTTGGAAAGATTTTAAAAACAAAACATTAGGTTTCAGCATTTAAAAAAATGCAGTCTTTCAGGTTTTCACTTTGAAGTGGCATTTCTCATTTTAACAAAAATGACCCACATTAAAAGAGAGAGAATTGTTTTTTCTTAAAGCAGTAAGTACCTAAAAACTTAAACAGAACATTTTGTTTTGTGTCTAACAAAACATTTCTGGATGATAAAACATTTTGGGTTGAGGAGGGGGTTGCTTTATTTGTTTAATTGAAAATACCCCAATTTTTTTAATTTGGCCTGAACTGAATTGTATTTTTTTTTTTTGGTTGGGCTGTTAAACCCAAAACTTCACAGATCACTTATAGAATCTACAGCACAGTTACAGTGGGGAACACTAGGGATGGGCCTGAGCCAGAACCTTGGGCCCAGACAGAGAAATTTCACATCCAGGCTATCAAGGTCATATTGAATTTCTCCCTGGGTGACTCATTTTCAATAAGAGCCAATGGAAGAACACTCCATTGTGACCATCTCCCATGGCCAGAAGCTCATGAGACATGTCCCTGTCTTCCTTCTGCCTCAGTAGCTTGGTGTCTAGTGTGACCAGATTTCGAGATCTGGGGTGTGGGATGTTTTTCACAGGGGGTGAGGCTGCAACACAGGAGAGGTTGTGGGAACATGGTTATGTCTGCATGGAACTGTATAGGTCTAGGACTAGAGAAAGGGTACAGGTCCACTACGGGTAGTTTCCAGCCATACCATCCTTTCCAGCACATTGTGGCTACCAGCTACCCTCTGCCAACCAGTTTCAAGTGCTGTCCATGCTACAGGCACTGCCAGTTCCAAAACAGCATAGAAGTTCCAGGGACAAGGTTTGTGCTTCCTGCCAGTTTTTCAAAATGGTAGTTTGTGCTGCAGACTAAGCCTGCTGGTCCCATGGGGCAGCCTTAGACCAGGTGCTGCTCTGCACTGCCTGCCAACTTTGTCATCAGTCATGCATTAGCTCAATGCGTTATGAGGCATTCAGAATCCTAGCGCATCCAGGAAGCGCCAGGCAGGGCACTGGGGGCTTGGAGCTGCTGTGTGATGCATGGTGCTAATGTGGATTTAGAGCTAAATCAGGAGGGATCGTGATATTTGGCAGAAGCATCCAGGCCTCAAGTAGTGTTAAGGCAGAGCATGGACATGATGCAGTCAGAGGGGCCAGTGAGGTTGGGGGAGAGTTCATTAACTCCCTATTTCAAGGTTTGGTTACCTGAGTTCCTCCCACCCTTGACTAAATGTTGTTCTCTCTTTGGTTGAACAGCCCCTGATCAAACCTGCCTCTTCTCCCTGGTAATAGATGACACCTGAGATACTAATTCCCTGCTTCATTAATCCCTTTAGGCCTTGCATGCTGAATGGTTTACATAGAGCACTGCAGCTCACCCTGTCAGTTCCATCTGAGCGTCGAGAGGCCAGTTGGGCTCTTTCTTTCTCATGTTGCTTTCCTTGCTCTAGATGGCCTGACATGGGTCAGAACCCAGTGAGCTGATCCACATAGAATAGGAATGAGAGCCCTTCCTTGCCCCCATGCTAGCCCAGCATGGCAAACATGAGTGAAAAGCAATGAAGGCTCAGCTATCGCTCAATTCACTGGCTGGGGCTCTGACTGCACTAAAGGAACAGAGCAGAATTAACTGTATGACTGAATTTATAGGAGCTCTCCCTGAAGCGGAGACACTGATCATACAGTTAGATGTCATTTGGTCTCTGTGCAGAGGTCTGCCTCAAGCTTGTAACAACCAATCCCATGCTGTGTTACTTCAGTTTCTTTTGGGAAGTGTGAAGTGTACTGTTCTCCCCAGGTACTGACTGAGGTTAATGCATCAACACACTCTACGTACCTGTCTGTCCCTTGCCTGGGCACATAAATACACTGAAAGAAGCCATGCTGATGGGTGTGTAAAACAACCACAGAGCTCTCAATTCCTCACCTTCATTATCACTATGATGTGGGACCTAGGGGTCTCTCGCAGCAGTCATGCTCACACCAAGCCACTCAGAATGCAGAGGCCCAATATTTGCCAAAGAGTAATAACAATGCGCATGCCTGTGCCCTATATCCAAGAAACTCAAAGCCCTTTGCAGGCACTTATCCATGGAGACTTACTATGCACCTGCAAGCTGGGCATCTATGCATTGGTTTTGCTGTTGGTGAGGAAGAAGCACAAATCCCATGCCCAGATTATGTTGTTCATTACTGACCAGTTCATCCTTGGCTGCTTCTCTCTTCCAGTGTGATGCCAGCTGTGGCCGTGGGATGAAGACTCGGAGTGTACTCTGCGCAGGCCTGGAGAATGGTGTGTATAGGGAATATCCTGAAATGCGCTGCGATACCTCCCAGAAACCTGAGGTGCAGGCAGCCTGTTTCAAGAGACCTTGCTCTACATGGTTCATCACATCTTGGTCTCAGGTAAGGTTTGAGGGAAAGGTGATAGGTAGTGGCAACGTGTAGGGGGTGCACGTGCACCCCCTGAGAGCACCAGTGCACCCCCTGACTGGCAGACACCTTGGGTGAATTTGATATCTTTTATTAGACCAACCCAAATAGTTGGAGAATAGTTATTAAGCAAGCTTTCGGGTTCAAAAACCCTTTGTCAGGCTAAGGAAGTGTCAGCAGTTGGTGTGTGCTCTTCCTGGATGGAATGAAAAGTAAAGAAGCCAGGAGCTGGGCTGGGCTGGGGAGTCAGTTGCCAGGCAGATTATAATGTATCAAAAATCCAATGTCTATGTTTAGTCCCTGATCTCTAGTATCCAGCAGGTTGATGAAATGGAGCTCATAGGCTCGTCTCTGGGAAGTGTTGTGTAAGTTTCCCTTGAGGATCAGGACTGAGAGATTGGAGAGAGAGTGGGCCTCCTGTGAGAAATGTGCCCCCACCGGTAATTGGGTATTTCTGTCTTTGATGGATTTCCAGTGTGCGTTCATTCTGGTGCGCAGTTGTTGTTTGGTCTCTCCTACATATCTTCCATCAGGGCATTTGGTGCATTGGATGAGGTATATTACATTTCTGGAGGTGCAGCTGTAAGATCCTGGGATGCTGATGGCTCTGTTGTGGGGTGTAGTAATAGTGGGGGTGGTGGAGATGTGGGGGCAGGTTTTGCATTTCTTGTCATGGCACGGTCTGGATCCTTTTGGTGTGTTCTGGGCTTGAGGAAGTTTGCTTCTGGTGATGAGGTTGGCAAGGTTCGGTGCTTGTCTGAAGGCTAGGATGGGTGGCTCTGGGAAGATCTTTTTAAGCTGCTTAGGCGATGAGCTGGGGGGGCAGGTGCCCCCCCCCATGAGCACCAGCCAGGGAGCAGCGCTCCCAGAAGTGGCTGGGGCCCCCTCCCGGAGTGGGGGGGGGGGGAGGGCCCCCCAGAAGGGGCGGCAGCCACTTCCGGAAGTGGTTGCAGTGATCGGCCCGGGGAGGACCACCCTCTTCCCTCCCCTCCCCCCGTCAGTGAGATTGGCTGCGGGGAACACCCCTCCCCACTCAGCGAGGTTGGCCACGGGAGGCTACCCATGGTGATAGGTACTGAAGGCTCTGTAAGGAGAATGGAGAAAGCAAATACAAGGCTTGAGGAGAGGAGAGGGGAGGGAGCTGGGGAGAGGGAAGGAGATGGTGGAGAGTGCTGTAGCAGAAAAGGCCTAGAAGTATGAGGTATTGAGGGAACCTGGGGAGAGGGGGCAGAGAGTATTTTTACATTCCTATTGGTGCCTGTGGCACAATTAAGTCTGATGGAGAAGGTAGCATAAGCCTTTTGAGGTGAGGATAGCCCCAAAATTTGGTGACCATCTCCCTGAACAGCACAAAGAGACATGCAGGAGACAACATAAGCTTGTGTGTGAGCTTTGGGTTAGAAACAGGGACCTGAGTGACAGCCCTGGGGACTGAAGTACTCTGTCCATAGAATAGACAGCAACAGGGTAAGGTCCTATATAGCACCACCCTAGCCTGGAGGAGGGACCCTTCCTCAGGCATGGGAAGAGAGCTCCGTTTCGGAGAACACTCGATATAAACGTTGGAAGGGTGCTTTCTCCAGTATGTTTGGAAGGGTGCTCCCTCCCAGGTAAAAGCTTCCGAAGATACTAAGTCACCAAAGAGTCATCAGCGGTTACTAGTTTGTCACTGCCTGACTAAGACTGGAGTCCCAGCCAAAGTGAAAGCTTCCATGCCCCATTGTCAGTCTCTCCAGTTTCCTTGCACACTTCTTTGTCACTGACTGTAAGTCCTGACCTGTTTCTTAGCTGCTTCGGTCCTTAGTTTTCTAAAGTCCTCTTAATCTGCCTGCCCTAGGGGGTGGGCAATCTCTGCAGGCACTCTACAGAGTAGTAAATTAGTAGTAGTGGTAAGTTAGTTACCTTACACACAGGTAAGTTAGTAACAATGCTAACCCATTCGTTCAGCTTCTGCAGATCTCTGGCTGCCCTTGGTGACATTCATGAGCTGCTAGCCATTACACTGAAAAGGAAGGATTTCTACTTATGTCCTAATCCCTTAGGAATACAGCAATAGGGACAGGGAAAGGCAGAGGGAGAACACTAGTCTTTACTTGAGCTCCATTAAAATTCTGTATTATTGATGTGATGTGAGGCTGTCTGGGGACTAAAAACTGAGTCTTGTAGGAGCTCCCTCTATGAATGTCTTGCTCAGGGCCCAAAAGAACATACTGAGCTGATAGAAATGTAGTGTGCTCACAGCTGTATCCCTTCTTGGTCCTGACAGTGCAGTAAGACCTGTGGTGCTGGCGTGCGGCTGCGTGAGGTGAAGTGTTACCAGGGAGAAGCCCTGGGCCAGGGCTGTGAACTGGGTTCCAAACCTGAAGCCAGACAAGCTTGCCAGCTCCAGCCATGCCCCACAGAGGCCCCAGGTAAGATGGGGACAGTCTCAGAGGGTGGCAGCCTTGAAGCTGTGGCCAGCTTAGTCCTAGTGGAGAATGCTGTTGCTTTAACCTCTTCTGTGGATGTTTTCACTCCCCAGAAGAAGACTGTGAAGACAAAGTAACAGCCAACTGTATGCTGGTGCTGAAGGTGAAGCTGTGCTCACACTGGTACTACAGGAAGGCCTGCTGCCGGTCATGCAGGAGTCGCTTGCCCTGACTGCTGCCTGACCACACTTCCCTTTTGAGACCAAGGGGCAAGATTCCCCCTAGAAAAAGACTTCACAAAAAGCCTTTTCTCTGTGAAAGAAGCCATTGGCTTAGTCACTGAGCCAATCCTTGTAGAACAGCCTACTCAGAAGGATTTCTAGGACACATGTAGCAACCACAGTCCCTTCTTGACTAATACGACTTACCTGACCCATTGAAGAGAGATCATCCTGTCCCACAAAGCAACCAGAAACATAGTAATGGGGGAAGTTCATCCCTGCTATCAGTCATCAATGAGGAGCACTTCCTTTCCCCCACCACTCCAGTGATTTCATATCATTTCTCCCAGCTGGGTCCATGTCCGGCACCTCAGGGATATGAGCAAAAAGTTCTAGCAGAACATGGGTGGGCAGCTGTCCCAACCACCAGCAGTAGCACAGATGGCAGCAACACCATCTGCACTCAGCAATCCTCTATCCACCAGGTCACTCCAAGCAAAATCATTCTATGTCACAATAAAGAGCTAAACAAATATGTATGTTTCCTGGGCACCTGTTTTTGAGCCAGAGGGCAAGGGGATGGCATGGATGGGAGTGAGGAACACATATCCTAAGCCACATCCTGTGCAGGATTGTGTAAAACTTGCTTTGTATAAAGCTGCCCATCACCAAAAAAAGAGAGCACGAGCATGCCCATTTTGTATTTCAAAGACCTCATTTATTACTGACATTCAATCTGGATCCACAGCTGAGCAACAAAGACGTAGAACAATAAGAGGAGAAATCCTAAGTAGAAAACTCAGACTTTCCCTCTCTACTCCCCACCCCAACCCCTAACAGCCCAAAGTCACATTTTGGACACCCATTTGACTTGTATATCTTGCACTTTTGCACTCGTGTACATGTTCCAGTACAGTGAAAAATGTGACGGGGATCTTCATCGTGAGCATAATAACCAATCTGGGACCACAGCATCAGCTTCAGGGTCACATCCGCTTCCTAGAAAAGCTGGGTTCACACTTAATGTATGTACAACAAAACAGACTACAGCTATCCTCCTTTCAAAGGTGTGTCATTGAAACTATAGTCCAGCATATACCGGGCAGTCTTGAGCTGAATAATTGTCTTTCAGAAGTGAGAGCATTGCAATGATGGCCAATACACCAGGGAGGAAGAGGTTGAGCACCCTACTCACCTGAGACCACCAATACACTCCAGAACCAGAAGTTCACTACAATGGCTGTTCTTGTTTCCAATGTCTGTTCTCAGGCCTGTCAGGGACAGATGGCTCAAGAATAGGCAATGGGGATGATTCCAGTGCAGGCTTCTGTGTCTGGAGCATACCTGCAGATTCAGGAAGGTAGGGTATACCCTGCTGCATCCTCACTGGGATGCACTGCTGCTGTGGTATAGACACATCCTTAATCTCCCTGGGCTGGCCATTCAAATTAGGAGGAAGGTATTTGGGGGCTATACTGTAGAGCCTTGTTGGCTATAGCAAGCCCAGGGGATGCAGTTTGACCACTTCAGGTCTGGTAGAGGCTAAGTTCAGATGGAAGCCAAAGTGCATCCTCTGCTATGAAAGGATAGGACTTGTTGAGTTTGCCCAACAAATGTCATACTAGATACTACAGTACCAGGGCAGTGAGCTGGTTGGGACAGGAAGGCAATAGAAACTGGGTTATTGAACACTAGGGGTCAGAGGGCTTTTGTACTGTAATCATTCCAGCAACGTTACTTGCCTTCCCACCCAGGTAACTGAGCGGAGGGTTATAGGGCTGGAAAATAAATACCCTACATAGGGGCTCAGTGAGGACTGTACAACTCAGGGTCCAGGGATAGCATGATGCCTTTCAATGCTAAGGCTTAGGTTCTAATTTAGATGATTCTGGGAGTAATGGCTGATCTACAGGCAATGCAAAATGGATCATGTCTTGGTTCAGGGAAGGCAGCCTCCATGCCACAAGAAACACAATCCTATTTAGCCCTGAGTTGTTAACTTGTTACGTTTTATCAGAGATCCCAAGGAATAAATAAGCCCAAATCTGAATAATCCTCTCATGACATCAAGTGGACCTTCCAGGTCCAAGCAGAACTACATAATACTTCATCTGTGAATGAATAGGGAAGTTAGAGGCTGTCAAGCCAGCACTTTTTACTATCTGTAGATTGACTGATAAACTGTAATAGAGATCACACACTCTTCCCAAATAATTCTGCCCAAATAAAACCATATGATAA